GTCTTTTTATCGGTATCAAGCCTACTTCCAAGCTCCAGTTAAAGTCTTTTTATCGGTATCAAGCCTACTTCCAAACCCCAGTTAAAGTTTTTTTATCGGTATAATACCTACTTCCAAACCCCAGTCAAAGTCTCTTTATCGGTATCAAGCCTTCTTCCAAACCCCACTCAAAATCCCTTTATCGGTATCAAGCCTATTTCCAAACCACAGTCAAAGAACTACCTCCATGAATATTAACTCCCAAAAGATAAAAAAATAATATTTTTCCAGGAACCATAATTTTAATTTGACTACTTCTTTATTTTTCAAAAGAATTATTTCATTCAGCGGTGTGAAAAATCAAGCTTTTTGACACTCATTTTTTTATGTTATAAACCAAAATTTAAACATTACATCACAATCATGCAACAAAATCCTGCTTAGTTCAAGTTAATGAACCTGCAAAATCATCAAATGACGACCTTTTGAACTCTTCAGTTTCAGATGACACGCTGGTGAAGCCTGACAAACATACTGACGCAAAGATTGAAAAAAAAACAAGTTCGGGATAAGAAATTTTATTAGAAAGAGAACACAACACATTCAGAGGTTTAAAAAAAGTTTAGTTTTATGTTTCTTCAGAAATATTTATTTTATTTATTTAGCTGTGAACTTTTGTTAATAATAGAACCATATATTACGGTCTGTAGCCAGGTGGTGTATAGTATTTTTTCACGATATTTAGGCCTGGGCCAAGTTTCCGGAATATGAAATATTATTCATTTTACGCACGAGCACGTGAATCCGGTTAAGTTGTCCATTTCCTTTACGCGGCACTAATAACGTACTACTATTGTTACTGAGGATTTATTTCTGTATATCAAGGAAGCTGAGAGGGGTAGGGGGAGAGCTGACATAATCGACGCTTTGCGTGTAAGTGTAGCTACTTCACGGATGTAGCGAAGGCATTTTTAACCAATCAATGCAAACAAATACACAATCCCACCAAGTACTCATGCACGATACACAAGATATAAGCGTCCGCAGGACTCTATGGTAAACTTGAGGGCTTAAAACGCTAAACTTGGAAGTTCACGCCCAATGGGTACAGCCCATTGTGTAGGTTTATTATTGAACAACAACCGAACCAGATTAAAAACTGCATTTAAAGATAGAACATGATTATTATAGTTAAGTAAGTAGCGCCATTATTATGCAGTAACTTGAACAACGTACTTAAAGTTTTGTTTTTTGAATTTCGCACAAAGCTACACGAGGGCTATCTGCGCTACCCGTGTCTAATTTAGCAGTGTAAGACTAGAGGGAAGGCAGCTAATCATCACCACCCATCGCCAACTCTTGGGCTACTCTTTTACAAACGAATAGTGGAATTGACCGTCTCATTATAACGCCCCCACGGCTGAAAGGGCGAGCATGTTTGGTGTGATGAGGATTCGAACCTGCGACCCTCTGATTGCGAGTCTAGCGCCCTAACCATACCGGGCACATACTTAAAGAAACATGATAAACGTATAAAACTTAAGAAACAATGTAACCGTTATTGCTAAAGAAATAGTGTTGTGAGCATTGAGAAATATTTTACTGTAACTGATTAAATCTAGTCCTAAGGTATAGCATTGGGAAATGAAAAACATAATTATTTCTTTATTCATACAGCACATGTATATATATATATATATATATATATATATATATATATATA